CGTCATCCCTCCCCTCACGATCTCTTCTTCCCGCATGTACCCGGTGCCCACCGTCGTCCGGGTTCATCCGCTGCTGTACCCTGCGCTATCTCCTCCTGCCTTCCCACTTCCCGCTAGCCGCTGCCCATTGCTCTGCTGTGCCAGCACCCACTGCTCGGTCCTTCACAGCGTGGTCCGACAACCTCCGACTCTCAACAGAAAAAGCCCTGGCTGTCGGCCCGCTCTCGTTTTATGCGGATTACCGGTGCACCGGGGCCGGGCTAATCCTCTCTGTATCGTTCCAATTTTAGCGAATGTCCCGAAGGACACAGCCTGGGTCACGGGGTCAATCAGCCCCGGCCCAGGCAATTCAGAACATTTGGGTTTACTCATCAAGTTCTATCATCTGGGTTCGAACACGGACCTGTATTTTGACAGTTCGCGGGTGTACCCACTGAGCTAGGCCCTTAGGGCCTGTCACCCGCTACTACACCACGTCCCATGGTAATACGAGGCGCGGTTTTAGGAAAAACGGGTAAACAAAAATTATATAAAAACATGGCCAGCTCAGGCGTGGTCGCAAAAACAGCCTGTAATTGCACTTCGGGCAGCCTGCGAATATAACACACCCCCACATGATTCCATCGCGGTCTCGCGTCCTTAAACGGGGCTTGATAAATAAAACAAGAAAAGAGAATTAGAGTAAAAAATAAAAACATAGAGCCGGGGGACAGCGGGCTGCTGACGCCACGCCAGTCCCGCGGATCAGGCCTGCCGCCGCCCCTGTAGACAAAACAGAGGGGGATAGCCCTGGCGGCCCTCCACCCCACCGGTTCCTTCCGCGATGCTTCGCTGTAGTTGCTGCGCCGACGCCCTACCGACCTCAACCCCCGAGCCTTTGTAGTGTCAGTCCAATGGCTAAGCCCAAGTCTGAGACCTACGTCCGCAAAATACCATACAAGATGGTGCTGCGCGACGCTTTTGCGCGGCTCCCAGTGTCCGTGCCGGCTAGCTTATATTATGCCATAATTACCCCGCGTGCCAATCTACGACATCCGGCTCCCCGTACGAAATCGCGGCATCATTTTCGATGCCGTTGTCGGGGTCGTTGGCTTGGTCAACCGCACCAAAAGAAAATATCCTTATTCCTGCTTAATCAAAAAAATAAATAAATAAATAATGATAATATCACCAAGCCACGCGACTGAGGTCCGGGCCGGCTTTGCGATCAACAACAGAAAAGAATCACGTGCGCCTTAAACCTGCGCGCCCACACACTCGCTATTGTGGTCAACCACCTAGTCAAAACGCAATTACTGACTCAACCGCGCTTAGCGCGGTATACTTAAACTCTAGACAAAAACTATTTTCCGTCACTTGCGAAAACCAGGGCGGATACCCTTGTAAGGGTATTCGCACCGACAGCGGCACTGAACAAAAGGACCTGCAAACAAAACGTGGGGTTTGCGCATTGAAGGGAAGGATGGGGATGGATGGTGACGGCGAGGCGGGTGGAGTAAAAGTGACGGAAGATATTGGGAAGGAAGGGGTTGCGAGTGAAGGTGACGGGGGTAGAGATCTGACAGAGGGTGAGGTAATCAAGGGGACTGCGGGATAATGACCGGGGACGAAGGCCGATCCCCTGCATCGGTACGTGGACGAACTGGGGGACGGGCTGAGGTTGAGGGGGAGGGGGATCGGCTCCGTCTCCGTCGCGATGCGCTCGGAGCCGCGGTTGCTGGGTCGCCATCTTCGGGCTTGGGGGGCTCTGGATCCCTAGTCGGGTCGTCGTTGATGCACAGGTTCGCCTCGCTGGCGAACTCCCGCTGGCTTTTCTCGGCGGCGATCTCTTCCCTCTTACGTGCCGCCTCAGGATCTTCCGCCTCTGTGCCTGTGCGTGCCGCTTCTTCCGGCAAGGCCTCCCACTCCGATCCGGCTTCGTCCTCTTCCTCTTCTTCTTCTTCGTCTTCGTCCTCTTCTTCCTCTTCTACACTTTGCTCCCCTTCGCTGTGCTCACTATAACTCCCTTCCTCCGACGTCTCTTCTTCGGCGTCGTCCTCTTCTTCGATGGCTTCTTCTTTTCCCCTGCCTCCTCGGATGGATCCTGCTTCGGATAAAAGACGAGATTGATGATTCCGGACGACTTCAAGTACTCCTGCCGCTATGGCAGGGCGCTTTCACTCCCCGCTTCCTCCAAGCACGCAGTCCACTGAAGATACGGTGCCAATGTCCTCGCAAGGACGTGCGGAGCCGGGCTCTCGTCACTTTGCGAAACAATATCGAGAGAGAGGTCGTTGACCAGTTGCACGAGCGGGACGACGAGTTCCTGGACAATTAGCTGGCGATGGCCTGGTTGCACCGATCCGAAAAGAAAACCGAGAAGATCGCCCTCTGCGTCAGTTCTCCAAGCTTGGATAATCAGCAGCTCCAGGTACTCAATACACGCCTAATGCTCGTCGGTCCTCGTCCACGTCACCTCCACTCGGGCCAAGCACATAGACAGATCGACAAAAGTCTTGCACCACACCCGCCAATGCCTAGGATCGAGGAGCGGGACTGCAAGGGGCTCGAGCAAGAAGGAAAGGCGAGGATGAAGATCGGATTGCCAGAAGGTGGGAGAGAGAAGCGAGAGGAGCGGCGCGGTTCATTGGGGGCATTGGAAGGGGACGGGGTTGGGGAGCACCAGTGCCGGCTAGCGCGTAGAGGTGCGCATCTCGTCGAAGTCAGTTCCGTATGTTGGGATGAGGTTGCACCCGGGGCACACAAGACCGTGATGCCACTCAGTCGATAACTGTTGCGTCCACTCCCGTAATGAGGTCAGGATCGAGGTATGCCGAAGCGGGCTGACCACGCTGATATCGCCGCTGAAGGCAGCGTCCGTGGCGACGTGGCTCGTTCCTGGAGCCGCCCGCCGATGAAATGCTACCACCTCTGCCAATACCATTGTCTGTGGACTTCCGGCGAATCGGAACGCAGCGGCGGCACACGCACCCTCGGTGCAAAAGAACTGCGCCAGTCGTCGAAGATCAGGACTGAGCCACGGATGACGAACTTGTCGGATCTCCGAGATGTAGCCATGTGGCTGCAGCAGATGATTGCCAAGAGCTTGCTCAGTGATGAAACTCATGGCGAGGACGGGGAAGAAGATGAGGGATGGGAACAAGAGGGAGAGAACGAGGCGGGAGCTAGATCGTCGTCGTCCTCGTCTTTAACAGATGAGGGAGACGGAGGGAGATCAGAAGGAGGGAGGGGACGGATGTAAGAGGTGTGGCAGACGATGGGGACAGAGCTATGGCTAGCGCTAGCCTCGGGCGCAATGCGCATCGTATTGGCACCGTTAGGTCCGAGCTCGACAACGCGGAAACAACCAGAGAACTTGGGAGCGAGTTTCCGGTCGCGTGCACATTTACGTACCTGCACTAGGTCCCCTAATTTATATTGATGTTGGGGACCGACGTTCCCATTTCGGGCCTCGTAGCTACGGACTTGCCTCCCATGGGCTAGATCAGTCATTTTCTGTCCCTTTCGGGCTAACTTCGGGACGGGCCTTTCCATTATATCGGCATACCTCTTGGCCTTGGCCTTAAGGGCGGCATGCGTGTCTCTACCCCCTGCTTCGGCAATTTTCGAGTTGCCCCGGTAATCGACGCATGGGAGGCTATTGGTGTGAAGCTCAAAGGGGGTGAACCCCGTAGATTCGTGAGGGGTGGCCCAGTGAATTCCGACGATTTGGTATACGATTTCGGGCCACGGACGCGTGTCATGCGCCGCTAGATTTCTACGAAGGGCAGTCTTAATCATGCGATTTGCATTTTCGGCCAACCCATTCGACTGGGAAACGTGGGGTGCGGTGTGTCGAAGCGTAATGCCTCGGCGCGCTAGCAATTCCTCTACCTCGCCCTTGAATTTGGACCCGTTGTCGGTTAGAATCTCTTCCGTATCTAGGTGGGTATAGAGGAACCGATCGATGTACGTAGCTATCTCTGCGGCCTTACGAGTCTTGCAGGGGTAGACCTCGATGTATTTGGAAAAATGGTCTATTAAAACTAAAAGGATGGAATATTCGCAACGGTTTGGGTCAGGTGGCACGTCGATATCTGTCGTGTCCATACTGATTCGCTGGAAAGGGCACTCTACTTCTGTCGGTACTATCGTGTTTGGTCCCCGTATTAGGGAACGATCGGCGGCACAGACCAGACAGTTGACGACTATGTATCTGACATCGTCCTGTATATTAGACCAGAACCATCGATTATGATCTATAGTTGCCTTCGTGACACGTATCGCGAAGTGAGCGGCCTTCCCTTCCTGAGCAGATCGGGTCCAATCATATCTCTGGAATGGATGGGCAACCGTCAACCAGAAACCCGATCCGTCAGTTTTATGCTTTTCTAGGTGACCGTTGATCCATCGGTAATCCCGGGATCTCTCGGTAGCCCGACGTCTGTTGTGCTTAGTCAGATGATCCAATGGTAAACCAGCCAATTTAGCTAATAGAATTTTATCCGTCCAGACCTCCGCTCGTCGGTATTTCTCATCATATTCAGGGTCGTTCGTTCGGGCAGCCTCAAATCGAACCTCGGTAGGAAGTTTGTCCGTTCTACACAGAGGGCGCTTCCATTCCCTACTATTCGTTTGGTATCGAACGCATGCCCTGTGTGCACGATTGACACATGTGGCACAATTCACCCACTCAACGAATCCGGTCTCAAAAGGATGACAATCCACCCCATAAACCCATGTAATACATATACAAAACCAGTAGAATCTATCGGAAAGGGTGGCGAAGAAGGCCGAGGAGGCGAGAGGGGCAGAATCAGCAGGGGAAGAAGGGGTCGCAGAGATAGGTGGGGTAGTCATGATGAGAGGGGAAGAGAGAGAGAGAGAGAGAGAGAGAGAGAGAGAGAGAGAGAGAGAGAGAGAGAGAGAGAGAGAGAGAGAGGGAGCAGGGCTGCAGAGAGGGTAGAGCAAAAGCCCCGTGTCACTCACTCCTTCGACAGAATTTCCACTTGCCCGTACCGCGGCCCGTTCTCATCCTTCGGCTCGTTCCACGAAATTACCTCCTCGCTCTTTGAGAACCTTCTCGGGTCGGTGCAGTCGTGTCAACCCGTCAGCATTCCCGTGCCTCTCGTGCTTCCGATGACGAATGTCAAAGTCCATGCTCGAACGCATGCACCGTGTGCACGATTGACACACGTGGCACGATTCACCCACTCAACGAATCCGGTCTCAAAAGCATGATAATCCACCCCATAAACCCGTGTAATACACATACAAAACCAGCAGAATTTATCGGAAAGGGTGGCATAGAAGGTCGAGGAGGCGAGAGAGGCAGAATCAGCAGGGGAAGAAGGGGTCGCAGAGATAGGTGGGGTAGTCATGATGAGAGAGAGAGAGGGGAAGAGAGAGAGAGAGAGAGAGAGAGAGAGAGAGAGAGAGAGAGAGAGAGAGAGAGAGAGAGAGAGAGAGAGGGAGCAGGGCTGCAGAGAGGGTAGAGCAAAAGCCCCGTGTCACTCACTCCTTCGACAGAATTTCCACTTGCCCGTACCGCGGTCCGTTCTCATCCTTCGGCTCGTTCCACGAAATTACGTCCTCGCTCTTTGAGAACCTTCTCGGGTCGGTGCAGTCGTGTCAACCCGTCAGCATTCCCGTGCCTCTTGTGCTTTCGATGACGAATGTCAAAGTCCATGCTCTGTAGCACCGTTGCCCATCTCCCGATCATGCCCGAGTAAGCCTTAGATTTCTTAAGAGCTAATAATGGCTCATGATCGGTGACCAGCGTGAACTTCCGCCCATACAGATAGGCTCGAAAGTGATTGATCCCCCACAGAGCCGCATAGCATTCTCCTGTCAGGGCGGCGTAATTGCGCTTGCAGGCAGACACCAACTTAGATGCGTATTCCACCATGCATTTGAGTCCGCCTGGTCCCACCTGGGCCAAGATCGCTGAGATTGCCTTCGGCTGCCAGTCCGTGATGAGGACAAAATGCTTTTCAGGATCCGGTCTTATAAGGACCGGAGCCGAAATGAGGGTTGCCTTGACTTTCGAAAATGCTTGATCACACTCTGGCGTCCAAATCAACGGTTGATCCTTTTTCAGCAGATTCGTGAGGGGACCCGCAATAGCCGCGAAGCCCTTGATAAACCTTCGGTAGTACGAGGCCAGGCCCAAAAAGGCACGAACTTGCGTGATAGTCGTGGGCACAGGCGCGTCTCTCACGGGTGCCACCTTTTGCGGTTCCGATCTGAGTCCCTGGTCTGTCACCACGTGTCCCAGGAAAGAAATGGTGGTGAGGAAGAACTGACATTTCTCCAGCGCCACCTTGAAATCGGCATCCCTCAATGCATGCAGCGTCTATTCGATGTGTTGCACATGCCCCTTGTAGGAACTCGAATACACCAAAATATCATCCATGTACACAATCACGCAATAGTTGATGATACTCTGCGTCAGACGTGTCTTCCGCACTAAGTTCTGGAAAACCATGTTCATGGCTCGCTGAAAGGTTGCAGGAGCATTGCAGATGCCCATTGGACATCGAACCCATTGCCAAGTACCTTCGAACAACACAAACGCCGTTTTCGAACGATCCTCCTCTCGAACAAGCAGATGATGAAACCCATGTCAAACATCAAACTTACTGAAAAATCGAGCACTCCCAATCGCATCCAACAACTCATAAATCTGGGGAAGGGGGTACACATTTTTGATCGTTATATCGTTTAGCTTCCGATAATCGATGCATATACGAATCCCTCCGGCCTTTTTGGGCACGATTACCACAGGAAACGACCAAGGTCCTATAGCGGGTTCGATCCATCCATTAGCTTCGAATTCCATAATTCGTTCAAACGCGGCCGCCCGTTGGGCTGGCGAGTACCGATAAGGAACGTAGCTAATGGGTGAATGATCCCCCGTAAGGATGGCATGCTCAATCACATTAGACAACACAATATCGTTATCGCACACACTTAATACCTCTACATACCTATTCAAAACGTTAATCTGTGATTTTCGAAATTCCAGAGGGACGTGATCGGGCAGAGTGACAGTCGGTCAATCGGGTATCTCAAGGGGCATATCGATCCAATCAGCAGGACGATTCCATCGGTCATGGACGCTAGAGAAAATAGAGCTGCTAGTGTGGACAGAAAATACAGTCGCGATCATCTGGGATTCAGCGGGGTTAATCATTTTGGCCTCTTTAGCTTCGGCGTCAGTTTTCGAATCAGCCGTGGTTTCTTCCACGGTTAGTTCTATTAAATCCACCATTTCCTGCATCAGATCGGGCACATTGTCTACGGGAGCTTCGGCTTCTTGTTTTATCAAGGCGATGGTCGCTCCTATTGTAAGCAGCAACCTTGGAGGGGAAACAGAAACATCCTGGTATTGTTTCGCCTGTTGATAGCGTGCTAAGAGGGAAAGTGTTCCCTTGTACAAAGTGCGAGGGGGTTCCAAATCGACTACCATGTCAGATATTTGCAAGATGGGTTCTCCGAAAAAAGTCGAGGGACTGACCTGGGTTTCCATAGGCGTGAGCGCGTTTTCTCCCAGACTCAAGTGGAAAGTTCGTGTGGTTTTGGGAACCATCCGAAATTCCTCTGGAGTTTCGTGCTTGAAAAGTTCGACCAAGTGTTTCCATTCACTCTCACTAGGCATCTCTTCTTCGCACTCCTGTTCTTCGAATCCGCTATTATTATCCGGGGATGAAAATCCCTCGTGATTAGGACCTTGAATCATCCCTATCCGAGCAGAATTAGGATTCTTTTTTACTGTTCGGGTTGAAATCCGCAACGAAACTGTTTGAGGCTTTCCTCCCGTTTGCGCAAGCACCAGCTGCTTGGAATCGAAATGCATGCGGGCACCTACCGCCATAGCCCAAGCCAGTCCCAACATCGGGTTTAACAGTTGCTACCTGTTGGTTCATTGAGAGAGTCGGAGGAGGGGGAGAAGGAACTGGCGGGATATCAGAGGCGGCCCCTTCGGGAAGGTCATGATCAGGCCGGGGATAGAATTGTTCTACCGCTCGTAACCACGATCGTCGTTTCGCCGCTACGTCCTGAATCGTCTCTGTAATGTCTTCGTCTCCTTGACTGATATACTTCTTTGTATCCGTCAGGTCTAACTCAAATGCTGTGGTAATGATAGCGGATAGCTGGTTCGTTTTAGGGGGGACCTTTTTCTACAGCTTAGCTTTTAGGGTCGGACTTCGTAGATGATCGATGAACAAATCTCGGGCGGAATTTTCATCTCGCCCTGATTTGTCCAATGTAGTTTGGAATCGATCCACGAAGTCAGGCAGCAACACCCCTGGTTCTTGTGGTCGAGTTTTGAGTACATACCAAGCGGCGTCTTCGCTGACCGTGTCAAATCTGGCCAAGAACGCTTGCTTGAAGGTGTTCCAATCTACCCATCCGTGTTTCCTAAACCAAGCATGCGCTGTGTTGCAAAGCAGCAAGGTGATGACGCGGGGGAGATCTTCCGCGCTATATCCTTGAGCTTGGACAGCTTCCAACCAAGCTTCGGGGTGGGTGTGATGAGGAAAAAAAGGAAAAGCGGCGAGAATACTAACAATCACCCTGGGGGGAACTGCGTTACCGTCGGCCATTGGCATAGCCTGTCTAGCCGATCCAAATCTTGATCTGGTTACTGGGCGATCTCGACGAGCAAGTTGAGGACTTCTTCTACCTCTGGCCAGTTCGACTTGATATCATCAGAACCGACATGTGTCGGTTCCGATACCAACCTCACGCCCTGTGTTGTCTTCCGTTCGGAGTGCTAAGGGTGCGAAAAGAGGGCCCAGGAAAACACCAAGATGGGGTGTGCCAAGGATTTTTGGAAAATTGAGTGTGGGGACACAGACAGAACTGAAATCCCCCATGTTGGCCCGATGAAGTAAGTCGGTTGCTTTCGCGCGTTGCGGAATGCACACGAGGGCAAGGCGCGGAAACAAAAACATCCAAATTCAATCCGAAAAGTATTGTCGAACTTCCCACCACGCTGTGGATCTTCGCTTAGAGAGGAAGGGCTTCGGTACACTACGTGTATCCCGTTTCCGTATCAAGTCCCGCCGTTGCTCGTTGGTCAGTTCAGAGTCCGACGTGGAGGGTCTCAGTCGCGTGACTCTTTCCTTGTGCTCGTCTTCACTCCGTATCCGGTAGTGGACGCCCTTTGATTCGTAGTGATCTAAACGCTGACACTCCGTGCACAGGGTTCGAGGCCAATGGGGCGCCACTGCCATCCACGGAATGACGATCAGCTCATTAAATGGCAATAGTACCGAGTAAGGCGGGTAGTGCGTATCGACAATGACAAAACCCCCATCCATAAATCCAGAACAACGATTTTCGGGAGGGAAGTAATATCGTCCGCCGATCCGTGCGACAACTTCTCGTACGTCCCACTCGCACACACGTGTCCTTTCCTCGTTGTAAGGGAAGGGGCGCGTTGGCGAGGGAGATACGGGAGGTTGGCGCCCGATCGAGGTACAATCGTCAGTCCACATATCAATCAATCAAAATGAGTTTGCAAAAACCCCGTAGACGTCATAAAAAAGCACAATCGAAAAGGAACTAACTAGTATTTTCCTTCCCTTCGACACGGGAGGAGCATGTTACAAAGTTCGTACGACCATGCAATAATCGGGTTGAAGTTTCGAGAGATCAACCCGCGACTCAGTTTCAGTAGACTAGGTCCACAAAAACCCGAGGCGCTTGGCTTTTTCGAGGCTGCCCCATAAATTGTCTGCAGATGTCGTGCAGTATAAGGCAAGTGGCATGCGCAGTGCATTCAGAACGACAGATCTAAACACTCTTGCATTCTCGAACAAAATCCCATCGAGCGCTGGGTCTAATCAATGCAAAAATACAAGCATTTCTATACATACATCCACTGTGGAAGGTGCGATAATGACAATGGTGCACAAATTAGAAATAAATCAGGGGATTGTACACACGCATCCACTGTTTAGAAGACAAGTGGATTGAGTTCCTTTGCATCCGGGGATTACCCAGGAAAGTAATGGAAGAGTTCCGGAAGAAGTTCTTCTTCGCAGGAAATCACAGAAGTTCACTTCGGTTCACAGGAGAGACAAACTCGTAACACATCGTCATTCAAATCAGAGAGAGAGAGAGATGGGAGAGATAGACGAGAAATGTCGAGACAGGAGACACCGGAATCCGACAAGGGAACATTCGGCTTCGCAGCCATGAACTCACACA